AGGCGGCGAATTGCTGGGGCAGTACAGAGTAAGCAGCTGCTACGAGATCCCCGTGCAGCTCCTCTGTCCCCAGCTGTGCCGGGTTGTGGGGAGGGGAGCAGGGCAGCTGGGGACAGAGGAGCCACGCAGGGATCTTAGTGGCCGCTCGCTCTGTGCTGCCCCAGTGATGTGCCTCCTACATGCAGGGCTGCACTGAGAGAAGTGGCGTGGGGCTGTGCCACTCAAAGCAGTGGGTGGGGGGTGGTATCCTGGCGTGGCCCTGCTGTTTCCAGATGTGCTGGGTCTTGCCTGCAGCGCTACAGCAGCCTGTGGGAGGGAAGCAGGGTGGAAGTTCGAGCCCACAACCTGTCCCCTGCACAGACCTGAGGGCATGGGTCCCCCTTGCCCCCTGAGAGTGAACAATGTGGAGTGCCCAGCTGACTTCACATCTCCCCGCTCCTGGCTGGCACCTCCATGTGCGACTTCCCTTAAGGGCTGCTAGAGCCACTTTGGTTTCATGTGCCCCCAGCCAGGCACTCCGGCGATGAGCGGGGCAATGTGGAGCTGGCTGGGCCCTCCACGTATTTTCCATCACTTCTGTGCTTGCAGCTGGAGTGCCTGGCCAGGGACACATGAAACCGAAGTGGCTCTGGCAGCCCTTAAGGGAAGCTGCACATGGCAGTGCTGGCCAGGCACTCTGTGTATTTCCCCAACACCTTCCCACTCCCTTAGCCCCCAGCCAGCTTCCACCCCAGCCCTCTGGAAGCCCCACTTTCCTCCTGGAGCCTGTGAAGTGGTAAGTGAGCCTGACCTAGGCCTAGTGACTAACTAAAAACTGCAGGCTCCGTCCTTCCCCCTCTGCCCCTTCAGGCAGGATTGGGGATTTCCCGCCGTTTTTTCAAACAGCTGTTCCAGGCTGAGACTCAGCCAGCCTGTAGAGTTCTTTGCAAAAGGAGGGAGTCCGTGGGTTTCTCTGCTAAAAGAGAAAATCTGCATTTTCTCTGATAAAACCATGAAACCTGTGGTTTTCTCAGTTTTTTGATGGGGAAATGAAAAACCCAAATTTCTGGTTATCAGACACCTTGGTTTCTAAGAGGATAGTAGTAGTTCTCTAAAGGCTATAGGAAATGGACTACCGCATCCTTTAACAGAGAAGCAATTGGGCCAGGCATTTCTCTAAAATCAGTTAAACTGTCTGACCTTCATGTTAGGAGATTTCTCAATAAATTTGAATTTTTCAGACCTGCTTTTCATTTCCATTCAAGTATGACTATAATGTCTTCATAAAACTGATTTCATAAATGTTCTAGTTTGGGGTCTGGTCTTACTGAAATGTGATAAAGCTGTTGAAATGCTGTGCCTTACAACACTAGATGAAGATAGTTTACTGTACAGTTAAATTTGGGGCAGTTTATTAAATGTGTAGGCTGTAGTTTTTTAAAAATTGGTGAACCAGCATTTTTCTTAACCATGTTGTGAACTGCTGAGAGCTCACCAGGTCATATATCAGACTAGTTGTTCTGATGTTTAAATAGAGATTTAAAATATTACTTTAAGTATTCACTTTTTTGAGTTTTCAACCAAAGATGATTAGTAAGACAAAATGATGAAGAAAAATGACAGGTTAAACTGTTAACACCTGGACATGACAAAATAATGTCTTCTAATGAAGAAACCGTAAATATTGTGAAATAAGCCTGTAACGACTCTTCATGTGATTTTTTTTTTTTTTTTTTTTTTGCTTTATTGTCTGTAGTGTGAAAGTTACTGGGGCATTGTACAGTAAAATCCCTGTTTGCCAGCTAGTAGAATGCCAGAATATTCTTTTAACTGGTGCTGTGCTGCTGCTGCCATGCCACCGCCATCCCCCACTCCATGCTGCCGTGTGCAACCACCCTGTGCTGCTTCTGTGCTGCTGCCATCCACCACCCTGTGCCACTGCCGCGTGCAAGCCATGTGCAACCCCTCCCGTGCTGCTACCCTACCATTCACACCCCCATGCTGCCGGTGCATGGAAGCCCCACCCTCTGGCTTCGTTATTTTTAGATAACCAACATTTTTACATTACCAGCACCCAGCGTTCCCCACTCGTGCCGGATAACGGAAATGTTATTGTATCTAGTGTATACTATGCGTTGCTGCAAATGTCTGCAGCACATTTGTAAGATGACCTGCCATCACTCTTGTGGTCACCCACTTTGGTGTAGACCACAGTGGGCAAAATATGGCCTGCGAGCTGGATCTGGCCCATCCAAGAGATTTTATTCAGCCCGTGGCAGGTCCCTGGCATGCAGCGGGGCTGGGTGAGTGTGGCGTCAAGGCTTGGCTTCCCAGCAGCCCTGATGGTTGCAACTTCTGGCTGTTGCTGCCAGCGTCACCACTGTCAGACTCAGTTCTGCTGCCCTGGCATGCCAGTCTGTCCTTCCACCCACTGCTGGGAGCACTGGATGGAGCATGTGGGCAGACAGGTGGGGTCTCCATAACGACTAGCTCAGACCCCCTGTGGGGAGGGCATGCTCTGCTGGATAGGATGGGGCTGATGATGGCCAGAGAGCGGTGTCTGTGAATGGGCCAGGGGTCCGGGGCTGGGATCTTAGGGTGGTGACAGAATGGGTCCAGGTCCCAGAGCAGAGCCACAATCCTCTTGCTGCATGTTCCTGTGATGGGTGCTGGTTCCATGGGCAGGGAAGTGCGGAAGTGGATTAGAGCTTGGCCTCAGGCCCTGGACCTGGCCCTGTGCTGTGTCCACCCTGTGATCCCAATCCCACTTGCCCATCCGACTCCTGTAGGGAACTGTTGTCAGTGGGATGTCTTTGTTTCGTCAGTGGCTTCACGTAAATGCATAAAGCAAAAATATCTCCTGGATTGTTTTACTCCATCATAATCCTGTAAATCTTATATTTGCACTTTGAATTTTTGTGGTAACAAACTATATACATTAAGCATGTATCTGTGTAATCTTCATGTTCTCGTATAGCAAGCCATAGTATGTACAGTTTGCATTTCATTTTTGTAAGATGTTTTCTTCATTATACTTTGGGATCTACTTAAAGCACGCAGAGGTGAAATACAAATTGTCGGCTGCTCATGGTGCCCTGCACCGTTTCTAAATCTTTTAGCAGCGGGCCTCCTCTCCCCCTGCCCCTACACCCTGGGGCCAAGGGGTACCAGTGGCC